CCATCTGGAACTTTTAACTTTGATATCCACTCGCAGAATTCCCTTCTCTGCGCTGGCAGCAAGCTATATAAAGCTCGAGGTAACACTGTTCTCCCGTTCCTCTCTATAGGATGTAATTCCTTTCTCAATCCCATCTCCTGCAAATCTTTGCGGGCATTTAGACTATCCTTGGTTTTGCCTTCAATACTCATCATTGTACCCAAAACACTGTCACACACGTTCTTCTCAATATGCATGACATCTAAATTGTGGCGTAACTTAAGTGAACTCCAATATGGCAATTCAAAGAAAATGGAAATTTTTTTCCAATTATGTTCTCTACCAAATCCATCGATCTTTTTACCCTTTCCTTTGATCCCAAACACAATTTGATCGAATGAGTGGATCTGATTTGATACCTCGAGTGATGACAATTGCTTTGGTCTGGGCCTCTTCTCTACTCTACCGTTAAATTGCTTCCTTTGGTTGCGCCACTTATGATCCAAAGGCAAAAACCGACGATGATCCATATAGCACTCCTTATGCCCATTCGTCAACCTCAAATGCGCTGTTTCCCCTGCACACGATGGACAAGCTAATTTACCTTTCGTACTCCATCCAGAAAGATTAGCGTAAGCCGGAAAATCGTTGATGGTCAACAACAATGCAGCTCTCATGATGAAGTTCTCCTTCTTGAATGCATCATAAGTTAACAAGCCTTCATTCCACAAAGCCTTCAAATCATCAATAACAGGTCTCAAAAAAACATCAATACTATTACCCGGAGCTTTTGGGCCAGGAATGAGCAATGTCAGGAAGGTGAAAGGATTCTTCATGCACTTCCAAGGAGGAAGATTATACGGGAATAGAAGGACCGGCCACGTGCTGTGCTTGTTGTTCATATTGCCGAATGGGTTGAAACCATTAGTCGCTAGTCCCAAACGAACGTTGCGGGGTTCAGAACCAAAAGATGGGTCAAACTCGTCCAAAGTAGTCCAACCCTCTCCATCACATGGGTGCCTCATGATCCCATCTTTCGAGCGATTTAGAGCATGCCATACCATATCTTCAGCATTTTTTGACGACATGAATAATCTTTGTAGTCGTGGTTTGATGGGAAAATACCGTATAATTTTGCACGGAATTTTCTTATCTCTGCCCTTCTTATCCTTATAAACTTTCTTCCACCTTGATTTTTTGCACGTGGGGCAAGATGTCGCATCTGCCAGCTCGGCGTAGTATAGGACGGAATCGTCCTCACATGCATCTATTTCTTCGTAGTGTAGCCCAAGAGCTTTCATAAGCTGCTTTGCTTCATAGTAATTCTTCGGAAGTGATTGCGCCATAGGAAATACAGCCCGGATATACTTGACCAACTGGGTAAATGAATTGTTACTCCAGTTATTCTCCCACTTGATTTTCATAAGCTTTGTGAAGAATGACAATCTTGACACATTCGAAGCACATCCCTCGTACAACGGTGATTGGGCCTCTCCGAAAAGTTTGTACAAATTTTGAGCTTGGGCATTAGGTTCTTCCGGATTCGCTAATGGAGCCATGAGGTCGTTCAGAACACCAAGCATATCATCTTCGCCCATATCGTTATCTTCACCCATATCGCCATCATCTCCATTGTCTATTTCAATGTTATCATCACCCAATTCTGGACCTTCATCGTCATCTTCTTCATCTTCGTCGACCTCGCCATGGTAAATCCATTTAGTGTAGTCGGTTCTCATTCCTTTATAAAGAAGATGTCCTTCTACTTGGTTCACTGTCATTCTACGCACATTACCACATTCCACGCAAGGACACCTTATTAGACCATCATCGTCTTTAACATGGTCTGTTGCATACTTCGCGAATTTCTCCACTCCTGCAATGTACTGTGTGCATGCCCGATTCTTCAATTGTATCCAAGCTTTGTCGATAGGTTCCATGCCTATAGATATATGTAGGAAATTTATGTTATTAGACTTGGTAAACAATTTATGTTACGTTATTAGACAATATTACAAAAAAGTAAAACTAACTTAATTATTCAGGAAAATTAAATTGTCGATGTAGAAATAAAAATAATCCAATATAATTACTTCACTAAGCTTTCATATATAAATCAAAGAAACAAATTTTTAATTACATTCAATATAATTTTAATCGATGTATATACAACTAGCTAGGAAACTTAACTACTTCCACTTTATTCCATGTAATCACATTAAAACAAATACTAAATTAATAGTCTTCCTTTACCCAATAAAATAATAAATTAATAATGATATTACCGTTTGGGGAAAAAAAAGTAATGTGCTGCGTACAACAACGTCTAGACACCAAAAAATAATAAAGTTAAGCTGGAAAAAAATAAATAAGCAGGTTCATAAAAAAAAAAAACCAAATACGTGGTCGTTTTGAAGAGCTGGAACTGCTTACCTTCCGTCCTCAAACCGCAGTCGCGCAGATCGCCGGAGGACCTCCCCTTCCCTCGCGTCGTTCCAGATTCTCAATCAGCGGTGAAGGTAGGCTGTGGGAAACGCAACTCCGATGGTTTTCTTTACACTTTCAGATTGGGAAAACTACATAATCATAATCCGTTTGTTCTTACTGGGATTTTATACTGGTTTATGGCGAATTTGGGTCTTGGTGGATTGATTTCTTCTTCCCCCTTTTGCCGCAATTAAGAGAAACTGATCGGATTAACAAACTCCATTCATTGAACCAGTTTTGATGCCATTGTATCGTTCCCTTTTCCTGTAATTTCGGAAATAAATGGTTTGCAGGGGAAGAACCAGCCGTCGTTTATTGCAAGGGAGGAAGAACATTGAACTGATCTGCAGAAGACAGAGAGTTCTCTGCAGTTATGATTCTGTTACACGATAATTAGATACAAAAAATTAAAAAACGTACATAAATTGTGTGTAGTGTAACTAGTTAGCAAGCTCGGTTGCAAACATGTGGTCCTGGGTTCGATTTTCATCAATGACTTATTTTTTGAAGTTGTTTTCCATTATAAAATCCACTAAGCTGTTTCCCAAGACATCATAATTCGTCAGTAATGTTTGATTTTTGACGAATTTTTTTCAATATTATTGACGAATACAAGTTTGCTCACTAATATTGTTTTTTCTTGCAAGTTTTTCAAACCAACTATTCATTATCGTTGGGAAATATGTGGTCATTAATATGGGTCGGGTAGCTACATGTAGTGTGCGTTTGTTCCAACCATCTTTTATTGACAACCGTATTATCACCGTCGAAAAAATAGTGATTTTTATGAGAAGTTACTAAAATCCTCGCAAATAAAGTTGTTTTCCATTATGAAATCCACTAAGACACTTTTTCGGAAAACAATATTTCTGACCAATTATTTCCATCAAATTCATTTTCACATTCGTAAAAAGCAACCGAAGGGTAAAAAGGGTACATTTCAAAAACTTGTTTCCCACGACATCGTAATTCGTCAGTAATGTTTGACTTTTGACGATTTTTTTTAATATTATTGACGAATACAAGTTTGCTCACTAATATTGTTTTTTCTTGCAGGTTTTTCAAACCAACTATTCATTAACGATGGAAAATATGTGGTCATTAAGATGGGTCGGGCAGCTACATGTAGTGTGCGTTTGTTCCAACCATCTTTTATTGACAACCGTATTATCACCATCGAAAAAAAAAAATAATTTTTATGAGAAGTTACTAAAATCCTCACAAATAAAACTATACCAAATAATTCTTTACCGAGTATATGTTTTTGCGTCGCAAAAACGTTATGACACATATGCCATTTTTTTGGACGTCACAAACGATGTTTATTTCTGACGGTTTGCTTAGGACAGTTAGTAATGTTATAAATTATTGACGAAAATAAAAAAATCGTCAATAAAAATGGCACAACCTTCCTCATAGATGTGAAAATCACCTTTACTGAGGAATTGTTTTAACTTTGCTGATGAATTTAGCTATTGGTTGGAAATAATATAATTTTTTATGATACAAAGAAAGTTTTGTCACAAAAACAGTTATTTCCAATGAAAAAACAGTGTCGTCAGAAGGTTTTGGTCACTTCTGCCAGTCTTTTTTGTAGTGAAGACAAGACGATCCAACACAAAGTCACTTAAAGATGGTTGTCGTTTTCGAGTGAGGCTGGTGGGACTCCCAAAGGATAAGACTTGAATGATTGATAGTGTGAAAGACAATCACAATCCATGACTATTTTGTGGGTTTCACAACCATGCATTAGAGTTTTATCCTGAAGGCCACACTCAGATGAATGCTTTCAGTGAAGAAGAGCTATCAACCAAAAGTATGGTACTCACCATCATAAAAAAAAAAGAAAATTTTACAACGCGATAGAAAATATAAGGATTGAGTGATTGGGTGGCATGACCCCTTCGGATCGGACGTTACACCATGCGAGAGAGATGGGATACTACATTGGTTACAAGCGTGATGATGATCGCCACCTTAATTACTCACCTTTTTCTTGCTCACCCTGAGTCTGTTCAGATGTTGAGTTCTTGGTACCATGTAATCTTGATTGATTCCACATACAAGACGAACAAATATAAGATGCCTCTTGTTGAGGTTATTGGTGTTACCCCCATCAAGAGGAACTTCAACATTGGATTTGCTATGACGGAGGGGGAAGGATTGGTTGCTGCTATCCCTCAGGTCTTCACAAAATCGGCTGACTTGTTGTGTATATGGCACATAAAGCGAAACATTGAGGCTAAGATGATGGATTTGGGGATACCACAAGAAGTTGCTCGAGGAGTGGTAAATGGTTCTTGGAAGAAGGTGATGGAAGCCACCACACCACATGCTATGATTGAGGAATGGGAAAATTTCCAAAAATGGATTTTGGGGGAGGAATAGTAGGTTGATATAATACTTGGATCGTGAGTGTTTAGAGCATAAAGAGAAGTGGGCTTGTGTTTACACTAACAAAGACATCCAAAGGAGCCTATGGACCACCCTACGGTGTTGTAAGGGGAAGTGTAAGCCTATATGCGATTGAGTTTATGTTTATAGAGGGAAAGATGACTCCGTCGGAATGTGATTGTGTGATTGGGAAGACACATGGGCTCCCATATAGTTGTCGAATAAACTCCTTTAAAGAAGGGGGAGACCAGTTTCAGATGGCACACTTGGCACCATTCTGGTCTACTTTGGACTATGCAAGACGAAAACAAAGATACCAATGATCTTCAGATTTTTCATTGGATATCTCAGCCACCGCCAGTTCCTTCTTCCTCACCCGTGATGTCATTTGGCACCAGAGGTTGCTCATGGTGACCGATGGGTATGAGTGGGCTGATGGTATCTCTCTTCCTCTGTTGAGAGAAAGCCGATAATGACGACGATGTCTCCTCGGAGGATGAGTCCAAGCTCGAGGAGCCGCTTTCACCACCGGAGGATCTTCCTCCTAGATAGAGATTGGAGCGAGGCGAGTCCTCCTCCATTCCTTCTATTTTGTTAATGGAGTTCTTCGCCGACTACTTCCAGCAGGTGGCCCTCCAAAACCAGCAGCTCCATACTTAGCAACACCAATTCCAGGAGTAGTATTGGCTCAGCATGCGCAGTATACTATTCGCATGGATCAGTTTGACTCCCGCCTGGATAGCCTCGAAACCAAGCATAGTGTGCTCCGTTCACCTCTCGAGCGTGAGTGTGATCGGATTCACCGGATGATGGAGGTTCAACTATTTCTGCTTCATCAGGTTCCAGTTGCGCCTCTAGAGTGGCAGACTCCGTGGGTTGATTCTCCAACACCTCCACCGTAGGACGACGACGCATTCATGAACGACATCGGCTTCGACGTCCGCGAGTAGGTTGTACTCCTCTCTGTTTGCTTTTGTGTTTTCTTATGTGTGTGTGAGGAGTGTGAACTAAATCATTCATGTTTTTCTTTTCCTTGTTGGGTTATGCACATTTGGGTGATGACTATTCCTAACATTCCATGCTCTAGTGGTTGTTTATGGTGATCCTTTCTTGTAGCGATTGGTCCATTTTTCAGTTTGCCTAGATGATTGGTCCCCTCTCTAGTCTTGTTGCAATCAATTTTCCCGGTAAAATGGTTCCCCTTATCTTTCCCTCTTCTTTATTGAGGGCAATGTCGATCTTAAGTGTGTGTGTATGGGGGTGGGGGTGTTTATCTTTGATTGTATAGATGTGTTTTTTGCTTGGAGCCAAGTACATTGTCCTAATTCTAAAATTTGAGGGCTCCAAGTACGTGTTCCTTGCAATTTTCTGCTCAGTATGCTTTGAATCGACAATCTTTAGAGTAATATGCAACCTAGAGAGGTAATATATCACTATGAAGGATGCTGAAAAATAAGAGATTTCCTATATTTCTCCTTGTTGTGTCGGTTGATTGTGTGAACTACTGGATTTCGGACCTTTGATTCATGTGGTAATGATGAATGTCCTTATGTTTCTGAGTAATGTATCATGATTGGGTGCTCAAATTGTGTCAAATAAGAACTAGTTGGTCCTCCATGTTGAAAATTTGAAGAATGGGGTAGGCCCAACGTGTGTGGCACCGTTCATTGCACAATATCGGCTTTTGGAAGAGATATTAGTTGAGCCTTAGTGGGGTATTCCTACAAGGTGATGCTAGACCGTCTCTAGTACAATTAAAAATTCCACTCGTAGAATGGACCGTCTACTTGAGGATGTGTTTTTAATGACACGGATAGAGCTTCTGATCCCCCTTAATCTCATTGACCCTCCACACGAATTAAGGAAAAAGAGTTACAAGAAGTACTCTGATGAGCGACAGATGTACAAAAACCCAACCAATAAGGATCGACTGTGAAAAACAACAGTTTGGAACCCGAGCAAAGTGATGAATGAAATGAACGAAGAACGAAGAGAAAAATTCAAAAAAGGGTTTCAACAAATGAAAGGAAAGGAAATGAGCACCCGATACGAATAGTCCATAGTTGTATGTGTTGTGAGAAGTCTCTTAATCCATGATTTTTCTGTCCTAGGTCCACTATTTGGCATGATCCTAGCTTGAGCCTAGTGCTCTCATAGAGAGAAATAGGGGATGTCGTAGAAAACTGGTTGACCTCATAAACTGCTAAATGACCTAGGAAGTCCGCTACCGACGATCGGGGTTGCATGTTGCGATAAAGATCAGAAGAGTTTCATTGGTTTGAGTCAGGTTTGTTTGGGGACAACGAAACGGTTAACTGTGGTGAACTTTGATAACACCATATTTACACATGTTTTCCTGGCATTTCTTCATCGTTTGTCCTATCAGTTCGTTGCTTTGTGGCCCCTTTTACGCTAGATAGTGTTTGGTGTAACCGTGGATTTCCACTGAGGAACACTCAAGTGCCATACACCATTTTAGTATTCCACGGTATGGAACCCAATTTTACAACCATGGATTACGACCATGGATTATACTCGTGAAACTCGGAATTTTGGTCATTTATCTGGTTTTCCAAGTTCTGAGATAGCAAGAGATAAACCTAGATAGACAAAGTAACGAAGAACAATCTTGGGAAGGGAATTGAGCTATCTAAGGACATTGGATCTCGATCTTTCACCCTGGTGGTGTCGATTTGATGAGTCCTGATAAAGTTTCTGTGATTCCTGCTTTAACATAGAACCATAATCTCAGCATAGGTTAAAAGAGCAACCATGATTGGAAGTAGTGAATCGATTACTTTAGCCGAGGAATCAATTCACTGCTCTGTATTGAAATTTAAAACTAGTATTGGAAGTTTGGTGTGTTAGTGCCTCGGTTAGCTTATTCCGTTGGAGGTTAGTCGCCCGCCAGGTATTCAAACTAAGAGGATCTGGATTTCTTTAGTTGAGATTCCATACTTGTCTAGAACTTTTGCAGTGTATCTGTCAATAAAATGAACTTGGGAAATTACAATCTAAACTAATTGCATACTAGGGGGACACATACCTGTGTGATCTTCCTCATACTTGAAACCATAACATTTACTGCTTTCTGTTTACTTTGCTTTTGAACACTTCACTCGAATTCAAATCTTAGATAATAAATTTGAACCGAGTAACAAGTAGACTTAGGATTCTGGGTTGACAAATAGAACGTGAATCACTATACTGCATACCTAGAATGCGATTCCAGTTGGTCGTAGTTTGGTTGTGTTGGTTTTAGCGAGTCAGGGGGCTCACGGGTACCCTTGTTTGGAGATTTTTTAAGCCATTCGACTTGAACAACCATATCTAACTCTTGAGCCTCCACTAAAACTTTAGCCTGACATTCTTTTTCTTCACCCATTGATAACACTGTTTTTTCACATGTTTTTCCCTTCATTTCATGATCGTTTTTGGCTTGGATTGGTATGTTCTTTAGCCTATTTTACGTTAGGTTGTACTTTTTTATGTTAATTTAGGGCCTAGTTAGTGGAAAACGTCTTTGGGACATCTTGTGGACCAAATGGAGCAGAGACGTATCGAGAGTCGCTGAGCGTATGATGAAGGATTTCAAAGGAAAAGAAGTCACAGTCACGGTCGTGACTTCCTAGTCACAACCAGAGCTTATCATACACATCTTCATGAGTATGACCCTTTGATTGTGCGTCCCTCTTTCTTCATGGAGTAAACCAATCCTCCACTTGAGTATGAAGAACCCTAGATTTTTATGTTAGAAGTTGTATGAACCCATATTCTTGACAATTGCATGTTAAATATCCAAATGAATTATTTTCTTATATGAACAGGCGGGTGCTCCAAGAAAAGACCGAGCAAACACTCGTCTTGGAGCTTCTCGTTTTCTACATTTTGAATTTTATGATTGATTTGGGAAAGTCTTTCGGATTTCTCTACAAAGAACAATTGCAAGAGTCCCATCTCTGCCTCTAGAACACATATTGTGGCGAAGTGATTCCAATTGCTATTGAAAATATTATTGATCACTGACAAGCTTAGAAGATTGTCTATGAACAACCTACCTCGCAAGCTCATCTTTACTACTCCAGAAGCCACATCGCCACTAGATGCACATCCATGATTTGGGGGCTATCTCCTTCATTGCCATCTCTCTCTTATATTAAATGTGTTAGATACGCCAGTATAAATCCCAATAATGCTACAATCCGATATATGGAAGAAACCACGTGTAATACAATTAATATTATTAATTATTAATATATAAAAGCCTAACATTGAAGTTACAATTCATTAGTGACTTCTAAACTCCTCCAACTGCAAGTTGGGAAGTTTCAAGTCCATCTTTTACCCCAGTCTCTTATTCAATAACCTATGTGTTCATCTAATCTCCATCGCGTCTACATCTATTGCCCATTAGATTTCCCATAATAGTTATTAGGATTCACATAATTGTAATTGTCTACTAAGGCCCCGTTTAGTATCATTTTGTTGATGTTGTGGTTGCAGTGGTGTTGTGTAAACAGATGTACAACCACAACAGGAAAAAAACAGAAAACACAAACCTGTTTAGTTGATAAATCTGATAAATCATGAAAACTGAAAACAAGAAACAAAAACGCGTTTAGTTACTACTATAAGAACTAAAAACCAGAAAAGAGATGGAGTAAGGCGTTTATGGAGGGGAAGTGGTCGGCGGCCGGCGGACTGGCGGCGGAGGCAGGGCGTCGGCAGTGGTTGCGCGGGCGGACGTCGAAGGGCTGGGCGGCTGCGCGGGCGGAGGCGAGGCGGCGCTCGGCGGAGGTGAGGCGAGGCGTCGCCGGGCGGAGGCGGAGGGGTCGCTTCGGAGGTGAACTCCTCTGTCGTCGAGAAGAAGATGGAAAATGGTATGGGGGCGGCTGATAGTGATATGTTGAAGTAGGGTTTGGGGGGGGGGGGGGCGGCTGAGTTAAAAAAAAGAATTTTTTTTTGCTTCTGTGGGGATTCGAAAAGTGGTCTGGTTTAATGAAATCAAGTGCCCAACCAGTAGGAATCCCGTGTGCAACATGTTTAAGAATCAGATCCAAAGCAATAAATTATTGTTTCTCATATTTGGGCCTTGTTGTGCAACTCTGATTTACAACAGAAAATAAAAACCCAACTAAACACGATTTTTTTTCTTGGTTTTCCAAATTTCATAAAACAAAACAGACAACAAAAACAAGCAACAATACTAAACGGGCCCTAAGCTTTCATCTATTGTTCTTTGCTTTCCCTATTGCAACAATTATCCATTAGGTTTTCGTCTATAATCTTTTTCCCAAATTTAATATATAAAAGCCTAACTTTG